TTTCAGATGAAATGGTGCATCCTAATTCAGTCATCGATTTTCATTGGCAGCTAGGAAAGAGCACGTACCAGTTTAATTTAGAAATTTCATGCCTATGAAGAAATTAAATACCTGTGAAGGTACACCAGAGTGTCTATAATGTTGTTATACTGGGATCACATATGGCTTATGAGCTCTTCAAACGGGGAAGTGTGAACACATGTGATTCTTAACTGCTCTTGGGCTAGAAATGTCACTTTTGTGTGAAAAAAGCTGGCGAGTGGAAAACAGCAAACAGCTGCCAGAATGTACTTCCTGTGCTGGTTCAGTCACTACCACGTGCTTCTCAAAGCTCCATGTTTCAAGACATTTCCTAACAAATAAATACTTGCACAGATTTATACTGCGCAAGAATTTATGAATCTCCAGGGGTGGCCTGGAGAATTGCAAGGCCCACCCCTACCTGAACTTTACAACTAGCGATAAATTTTTTCTGGGCCTTCTGCACCTCTCCTGCTAAGCACAGATGGTGCACATGTTGGCACTCGCACAACACAGCAGCATGAGCTGTGCCTGTGCAGCAGTCCTCAGTGCAGATCTACCTGCTTACCCCAGAACTCAAAAAGCTGAGGACGTGGTGGTCTGGGCTGATTGTGAACACAGCAGAAATTAATGACTATCTACTTCTGTTCTCCAATATATAACAGCAAACTATTCTTGTGTTGTTAGTATTAATTTGAAAGTGAATCTATGATATTCTTGTTTTGTATAATGTTCTCTGAAATAGCCATGACATTATATGTATGCACACATATCTGCTACAAAATTTCTTGTTCAGATCCCGACCAGCTAAAAAGTATTAGAACTGCTACTGAGTATGCAATATACATATATGCTGTCTCTATATACTCGATCTTAAGATGATAAGCAGTGGCAAATCACTTTCACCTTAACTAAAACTGTACATCCCTCCATAATCCTCTATTTGATAGCATTATTCCCTTACATTGATTGATTGACATGACATGGAAGCTTTGAGAGAAATTTCTATTAATAAATTAAAGAATCACTAAAGAAGTAAAGCTACTGTTTGCAATTATGCAATTTCCTGTATGAGGATAGAACTAAAATTACATTAATGGCTAAAAAAGAAATGCTTATTTGTTTCTTCTAATATGTAAGTCACATCTTATTCTGGGTTATATGGTAAAGCTAAGAAATAGGCATGTAATTAATTTGACAATCTAAATGGTCAAATGCTCTGTCCAAATGAAAGACAGACACAACAGTAATGTATACAGAGAAAGTGGCTTGGGCATATGCATTTTTCCCCTAAAACAAAGGAAGACATTTGTGATTACATAAATACAATGCAAGTCTTTTGAAACTCAAATAATCCACAAAACTGCAAAATCGCCGTGTGGCCACAAGAGGGCAGAAAGGATATTCATTTAAAAGCATGTTTCTGTGGGAGAATAACACTCTTTTAAAGAAAGTGTGCTTTGGTTTGCTGTAAAATGCTACTGAAGGAGTTAGGAGAATATTTCACTCTGCCTTGTGAAAGAAACTACAGAACAAAAATACTCTTTCAAACACACCAATTTACTCCAATGCAACTCAAATAAAAACAAATTAAGAGAAAAGATCATCAGAAGAAAGAAAACAGATCAAAATTCATCACTATGTCTGTCAAACACAGACAGACAGAAACTTCCAGTAAGCCAACTAACCAGTATCCAAACTCTGGTGATGACTCCAGCTATTGCAACGAGTGGAGCAAAAATCCCCCACAAAACATAAGCAAAAGACATTGATATCTGAGAACAGCCGCAGCATTTCTCAGAGGTCCTGCTGCTGTGCTGCCTGTCTTATTTGAGATATTTTATACTCATCTAATTTGTGAAGAATTGAACTGACACCCAAACTACTTCACTGAGTTCTTTCCAGACACATTCAAATATGGCAATTTTTTCCTGTAAAACCTGGGTTTTGGCTTAGCTCATGGCTGTAATTATTACTTTATCGTAAGAGAGTTAAAACAGGCCGTCATCGACTTCTCTCTCCAACCCCAGTTCCCAAGTGTGTTGTCTTCATGCACTAGGGAACCTTCTGTTGACATCACTAGCTACCGTATTCTATGTATCATCCCAGAAGACACTTATCTTTTGTAGTTATTGCCAACTACAAGAAGACAGACCAAAGTATATTCCCACCGGACTACACTGACCCAGAAGGTAGACTTAGTTCTTATTTTTGTTCCATTCAGTTCCCAGTTTCCTACTAATCTTGGAAGAAGCTACTCCCCAAACATTTCTCTCCACTCTGGAATACTCTGGGGTTGAGAAAACACGATATTGGAAAGTCTATTACATTCAGAAACTATTTTTTACTTAGATATGATTCCCCAGGACATCAAATAGAGGTGATGTAATTTCTCTTACTGAAAACTCCTCTTAGCCAAAAGGCTTAGAGTGGGATAATTCATTCTCTTAGCTGGGGATTTTGGAAAGCCCTGGAACTGAAATGGGAAAAAAGGCAATTCCTTCTTTGGAGAGACATCATCTTGGAAATATGTGATTTCCTTTGGGGTTGGGCTTTGTGAGTGATTTCTCCAGGAAGAGGAAGGACTTGAGAGTTTGTTACTGCAACCTGCCTTATCGCTTCATCATCTGCTCCTTAGAGCTTTCCTCAGCCCTCCATTATCAGCCCTCTCAGGCCTCAGCAGTGGCCTTGCTGAGCTACACCCTCACTGGGCCAGTTTCCCAGGAAACAGAACTAGAAGGAGAGTGGAGGTTCCTTCAGCACGTGCCGGATTTTGCTGGAAGAGTACAATCTCATGAGGATGCTTGACCCTTGGTTTGGATCTGCTGCTAAAGGTAGTAGTCAAGGGCCAACCCATTACCTATGGTTCCCATGCAGTCACCTGGAAGTGTTGGGCAAGAGATTGTGTGCCTGGAGCTGGATGTAGCCTTTAAGATCCGGAGGAGGGTTTGGAGCAGAGCAGCTGCAGGGACATTGTGTAGTTCAGACCTTCCTGGATTGGGGGATATGGACTGGTGATGGTGCGATGGGTCAGACGGCAGATGAGCCTAAGTGGATTCAGAGCTGCAAGCACTGAGGTTCTGACCCAGCTGCTACGGGTCTGTGGTTGAAATGCCAGGGTGTGATGACGTAAAATGGGTGATGTGGACCCCTGCCTCAGGAGCAGCCTCTCTCGTGGGGCCGCAAAGGAGAGCGAGTACGACGGCACCTGCCCGCACAATGGGCATGGGCAAGAAAGCCACCAGGCACAGGCCCCAGCAGCAGGGGCTGCAGGCCCCAGCCTTACATTTCACAGAAAGGGTGATACAACTGGATAAAGAGGAATTTCAGCTAAGGTCTGAGTAAAGTGGACTCAGAAAGGCACATTACAGAACCACAGCAACCTACCTGAAAGGAAAGTCTCGCTTCTGTTTCTTTCCCCTTGCAGATTTCTGATCAACAGCTCTGAATATTTTTCTCTCTGCAAGCAAGTACTATTTGAATCTGAATCATCTCCATAGTGCTGATGTAGATATCATAGTAGACCACCCAACACTCTAGAAACTGCCAACATGACAAAATGCATTTTAACTTTTAACATGGTCTTAGTACATCAGCTGCTTCTCTTAAAATACATCTGGACAACCCCTCTGACATCCTAGAAGAATAGTATGTATAAATATTTTAAATTAGTTTCATACCTTTCCAAGGAAAAGCAAGATTTCACTGTGTTTTGCTGACTTATGTCTGAAAAAGAGGGGATTTGATCAAAATATCTCTTTTGTGAAACTTTTGCCAAAGTCAAGCCTACACCAGTGAGATGAATGTTTGTACTCCTTCCTCAAACTCATCTTGCCATGGGAAGTTCCACATTTAAAAGTTAGCAGCCCTTTGAGGGCAGAGCAATACAGACGTGGATAAAAGGTGAAAGTGGAGATGTAAAACCAGTAAAGCAAAGGCCTCTCAGCCTTTTCCATATGACAGGCCATTTCTTTTCACTCAAGTGGATTCTTGTCACTGCTTAGGAGAGAAAAAGGAAGGTCAGAACATCCTTTTATGCCTATAAACTTCTATGCGCGTTATACTCTGTACTGGGCTATATATTTGCTAGAGCACATATGGACACAAGGGTTTCCTCAGGAAAACCCAGGATTCTGACAGTTAAAGCAAGACAGAGATACAAAGGAATGCTCCACTGGTTCCTGTTGAAGAGCAGTGTTTCTTTGTGGACTTCATCTGTGAAGGTGTTGCTGCTTTTTCAGCAAAGACTCCCACTACTGTGAACTAGAGCTTCGCCAGGTAGAAAGAACAAGTCCCGGTGCTTTTCTGTCACACATCTGAGCAGCTCATAACAGAGGCAACCTGTAAAGATATAAAGAGCTTTACGGGCCTCAAGAAAGCAGAGGGTTTTGAGCTCCTGGCTTTCACCTTTCCTCACAAAGAGCTGTTGAGAGCACGTGCCCATGCCACGAGTGCTAAAATACAGCTTCCCTCAAGTGAAAGGAGAAGAAAGCATATCCCCTCAGCACAAAGCGGGAAAGAAAAAGAAATCATGGCAAGTAAGAGGAAAAAAGAAAGGGAAGTATTGAGAGACTGTCCCTCACAGAGTGAAACTGGAACTTAAAGTTGAATCCAAATCATCAAAAATGCTTTCTGAGAGCAGCTCCAAACTTTCTCCTGCCGTCCCTTGAAAGCTTTTTTTTTTCTAGCCCCTGTATATGAATAACACAAAGCAAAAGTGTCACTGCCTCTATACCATTTGGCTTTTTTTTTTTTCATTTTATTCTGCTATCTGATACAAATCACTAGTAGAAGTAGTAAAAGCAAACATTGTTTCTATACTTGATCAGAGTCAGGCAGAAAATATACATATATATTTCCTCCTCATAATGCACTAGCAGAACCTCTCATTCTTTGACATTTCACCCCTTTATTTTCCCCTAAAAGCTCAGATATGAAACCTGACAAGGCTACATGACTTGGACCATTACTATAAAGAAATGGAGGGAACTGATGTTCTGTCAAGGACCTTTGAGTCTAATGAGGTACTAACTCCCCTTCAAATTCCTTCACGTCCAACTGTCTCACAAGACAGGTAAGACTTGAACTTGTAGAGAAAAATAAGTTTATTAAAAGTGCTTGGTATTCATTTGCTATTGCTAGGGGTATTTTCTAACATTTATATTTTTCTAGCCTGGCATAAATTCTGTAAGATTTTCTTTCTTCCTTAACTTCATGCAGTAGTTGTTTGTCAGTTCCATGGGCAATATATTAATTATAGTTGAAAAGCTCACTAGTGGTATATGATATATTCTGAATTTAGTGCTCAGAATCTCCTGAAAAATTTTCAAAAAGAACAGAAAGAACATGTAGAGTGTATTTCTTACTTTTGAAAAAAAATGAGCACATTCCAAAAAACAACCAACGACTTTAACCATGTTATTCTTTGATCTACTACTGTTTGGAAACTTTTTTTTCCCTAGGTTACCGGTTGACCTAGAATTACTGAGACAAACTTCTTCAAATAAAAATTTTAAGTGTCAGTAAGCCTGCATTTTGCTTTAGTAGTCACCAATGAGTAGTCAGAAAGTTTCATAATCCATATATTTTAATACATTTTACTGAAGCAATTATACTGGTAGCTATAGGGCAGGATATCACTGAATTCCTCTATTCTTTATAGTTTTGGAAAGCTGAACCTCCTTCTTGCTCAAGACTTTTGACAAATAATTTTGGGGTCTAAATTTCTATTTTTTACATACATAAAAATGACTCAAGAGTTGGTCTCAGGTCCTCCACTTTGACATCACATTTTATCTCTGTTGTTAGGAAACTAAACCATTAGTTTAAATTTTACTTAGAGCCTTCTGTTTAACTATTTCACATTCATGGAAACTAGGCCCTGTGGAGTTCTGGGGATGTGTTTAGTCAAAGTCAAATTACCAGGCTTAGTACAAAAGTAAATATGTGAATTTTAATGATTTCTCATATACAGGAGAGACTAGAAAATTTAATAGTTCTTGAATTATTATGAATTTAATAGTGAGTTCTATTCTCTCCATAAGAGAAACACAAAGCATCCTATTCCTTTAAAATCACTGGTACTGGATTTCATACAAAAAAAAAGGAAAATATTATAAAATCCTACACTAGACTGTAATTGCAAAAACAAATGAGTTTCTTTTTACCATTGCATGGACTGCTATGAAGAGAGCTTCCCATAATTGATCTGTTTACAGAGTGTTCATGCTTAAGTTATTACATTTTAAATAAAAGATTTCACCAAATTTCACCAGGCTGCATAAATAATAACCTCTATCATTTCAAAATTTCCATACATGTTTCATTCTGGATTTGAAAAGTCATTCTTCAAATGGGTCTCAACACACCAGCAAAACATCCTTCAGTTGACAAGTATTAGGTCCAATAATGAAAGAGAGATAAGAACACATGTGGTTAGGTCATAAAATGTCCTTTCTCCATGGAAAGGAAAATATGAAATATAAAACAGTGAGATACATTTTCTGATAAAGTAAACAAATGCTTTAGTGAACTCACCTATTTATAGCTGAAAATAAGGTAGCCATATGTTTTAGAATATAATATGTGCTTTTTTAAATGTTTTTTTTTTTTGGCCTAGCCATGTGTTTACAAGTAGATTAAATAAATGGAACACTGTCTCAGTTGTCTGACAGCTTAGACAAGTCGTCTCAGATATTTAAAATACTGCATCCATGAAATTTATTACTTTATCATCTTGGACCAGATTATTTGTTATCAGCATTTCCACTGATAAGCCGTACCCTGAAAAAACAGAGGCATGTTTGTGTGTTTGTACCTATCTGCAGGCCAGGTACTCTAAGCATTTCACTCAGTAATCAGATGATCGGATTCAGTACTCATATAACAAGCACTTGGTAGGCAAATTCAGTCACGCAACACTGAACCTGTGAGTTGGAGGAAAACAGAGCAGGTAGAGCAGAGAAAGCTGGAAATAATCCTCACAGAGTAAAGGTTGCCTGGTATTGCTGAAATTTCTATGGCAAATTGCCTGCCTCAAGATGCCATATGTAGTTATTTATATATTTATTAAAAAAAAAAAAAAGTTCAGCTGCTTCAAAAAAAGGAGTTATATATATATATATATATATACACATATATTCTGTCTACTAATTCATTGAATAAGTCACAAACCGTCGTGCCCTGAAGCAAAATGTACCAAAACTGGCAAACCCTTTTGCAAAGGTAATGTTACATCCTGTATTTCACATGCTCATAGCAAGTTCCTAATTTATCTTAGTTTGTTCATAATTAGAACATACTTCTGCCCCTCAAGGTGAATCCTGCATAGCCAATCAGACTAATTCTCTAAGGTTTATACCTATGAAAACTGGATGTAGAAGATGCCATTCTGAGATACACTGGTACAGGCACCCAGTGCTGAGTACTGACTAATATTCCCTGAATCCCAAATCGGGATGTTACATAGTGATTATGGCTACATTAACAAGTAAGGTGGGTTACAGGAGAAGATTCCGCAGAGTGAAACAGGATCCCTGAGAATCTGAGGTCCAGATAAAACACATTTCAGATGTTTTAAACTTCAGATTACCTCTAGCGTGGCTGTCAGGACTGAATGCCCCTCCATCGCTCCAGGGCACTCCTGCTGCATTCCTGGTGCACCTCTTCCAGATTGTTTAATCCAGAAGAAATCCAGTTCATCTGTTCCAAGACCAAAGCACTACAAGTAGAGACCATGGGGAGATCCATGTCAAAAGTGCACTCCTGATACAATTAAAGCACCAGTGTAAATGCCTCCTATGTGAACTCATGCAGGGTCAGCTCCTACCTACTCCCCTCAAAACTGAGCCTCTACAGACCTTACGGAATCTCTTGGGTATTCCTTAGCTGCATTGGCTACATGTGCTGATCAGATCAGTTACAGGATCCCTTCACACGCTCACGTTCTGTGATGACGCATTCACTTGCTTTGAGCCCTCCACAATGAGACAAAGCTGAAAGCAAAAATGTAACTTTTTATTTAAATAAAGGGTCAACTAGAAGACTTGAAAATTCACATGATCCCAGGATTTTAACATATTTTTCTGCTCTTTATTGGAACAAAATCGTCCAAGGCTACAAGTTGACTGTCAGAATTCAAAGTAAATCTAGAAACATGGAAATTAGAAATGGAAAGTCTTTATCCAGTTACTGACTATAACCCCAAGACAGTGAAAGATTGTTCACTACATAGTCTTGAACACTCTGCCATCTCCAGCCTTGCTTTGGTATTCTCTGTGCAGAGACTTTTTCTTTTTTTTTTTCCTGTGTCCTTGAGATCTTTAATATCAGTGGATCGATATTAGCTATAAATGCTTCTTTGTGAAACAGGGACTGGGAACATCTTAAGCTTAGCAAAGCCCTGTTTGGCCTGAATGGCTGATCAGACGCTGCTGCTTTTCTGCACCATGTTTGTCTTTTCTGTCCAAGGTAAAGTGGTCGTTCTGCAACTAAGTAGTCTGTAGACAGGAGTCAACAGGAATGATTTATTAATGTTTCCAGCGGGACTCAGCTTAATGAATACAAATACCACTGTCATGCAGGCGACTGGGCATCAGTCTTCCTACTTTCAGAAAGAGGATGCAAGGCTTTAATCAGAACTTTCTCAAGAGGTAGATGCTTGGGTTCCTCAGCAACTTAAAAACAGCAAGGCTCTCCAATAGTCCATAGTGCACCAGGTGTTTATTTTGGTTCATCTTACAATAACTTTTGTGCCATGGCAAAATGGAACAGCGTTGGGCAGCAGCAAAGTGAAAAACAGTAAGAAAACAAGTAACAAACTAACTGCTCGGATGGCAACTCCACTGCCAAGAACTCACAAAGAGCAACACGGGGTGCAGCACTGTGCCTGTCTTGTGGACTGGATTTCTCTCGGCGATTTCCCTAGAGTCTATTTGGATACCTGCTACAGTTGGAGGTTTTTGATTTAAACGTACTCTGAGATGTTTCTTGCATTTATCTTTTCCCAAAAGACTTATAAATACTAGTTAGCAAGACCAGGATTGTCACTGCTTCATAGTGAAGTAAGTTGAGATTCAGTGAATTAGTTTATTTCTTGTCACAGTTCAAGAGATGTGGATTCAGGGATGTTATTCTGCCTTCATAGCAAAATAAGATAAAGTCACAGCTAGGGGAATCTTGCATCAGAAAAACACCATAAACCTGAATCCAGTTAGGACCTGCAGAGTGGCACTTCCTCTAGGATAGCTTAATCCAGATACCCCACCACTCATTCCTCAAAGTGTGAGCTACCTTTAAAGATGTTCCTTGATAGGGTTTTCAGAAAATTCTAGACTATTAAGACATGGTTAAAACACCTGTTTGCATCTTAGTTCTTTTAATAAGAAAAAGGTTGGCTGAGCGGATTTTCTCTGTGCCACCCAAAAGAAAATGAAGTGTTAAATCATCAGTGAGTTTGGTATTCACTTTCACTGCTCTGAGTCAAATATGTATGAGGTGAGCATGCATCTAAACACTCTGAAAGGCTTGATTTCAAATAATACAGATATATGGAAATGTACTGAATATATACCACTGTATGCATGTAAAGTGCCTGATATATCCTGCATTCAGCGTGAAATATAGCTAGTGAAGAACAATGTTTTTCCCCTTCTCTAGAGATGGACAGGGGAGGTTTTCAAAGGAACAAATAACAAATCCCGAAATCAGTGGGAGTTAGAGGCTAAACCTTCCAACTGCGCCATTGCTTATGTTCCCCATCCACATTCCACTAATGTAACACCTGAGTGACGTAAACACGCTGCACATATCTGTCCGCCTCTTCCTCCTTCTCACTGATGAAAACATAGCGGACTTCATTCCATCTTTATTAAATGAAGGCCATTCACCCTAACGCTTCTTTTAGTGCCCATTCATCATGATGGCTTTACTCTCAAAGAAGGCTGGGTAACTCATAGCCAAGAAGGTCAAGTTTTCATTGTTGAAGAGGTTTCAAGCAACTATCACTCTTACTGCTACTAAAGGACATTTTGGGGGCTTCTTTCTTTCAGATATGAGAAGTTCAGGGACTCCTTTCAGTGGTGCAGACCAGAGAGGGCACATGGAGCAAGCGCCCTGTTTGTACTGCCAGGGGGACACAAGGCGAAGGACGAGCCTCCCGGGGCATTCGTTAAAGGCCATCAACATTATGGTAGTGCTGTAGACCCCTGGCCAAGGTAGGACCAACAAATACTTCACACAGTCAAAATGTTTAAGTGAAAGGTGTTTTAACAGGAATAGCAATAAGCAGCAAACAGGTTAGAGTGCAATGCAGACTGAGCCATGCAAATACCTGCGTTCTAGAAATGGGGCACTTTAAGCTACTGCCCTTTTGCACAATGCTCTAAATACTAATGTGGGAATACACTGGTACCCATAAACCTCTGCAGTGCTTTGCTGAATCTCTTGAAATTCCAGATTTCCATATTTCAGCTCTTTTTTGTCCAAAATGTGGTAATAATTTACTCTGTTGGCTGTCATCCCAGACATCCTTCCTGACCTTAAAAATGTCACTAATGGCATGATTTACACTAGTGCTCAGCATACAGAAATCCCATAAGCATAAACATGAAAAGTAGGTGCTCAGTTTTTTCAGAAAGCTGCTTTTAAAGAGGAGATCAGACTTCATTAGACGAAAGCTGGGACAAAGAGCTCTGTGAGTCCTGACTCCTAATTCTTGCTCCTTACCACACAAATTCCTTCTCTAGAACTGACCATTCCAGATTCCTGGATGCTCTATGAGTGTCAGAAGATAAAGCCTTGACTGAATACTACCACTCAATGACACGTGAGCCAGTCAGACCTGCCCCATCAGCGAATTTCTCAGCAAGCCTAGCTCTGCTCCTACCACATTGGCTAAAGCCAACTGAGTTCAGAGCATGGCTGCTCCCCCCAGCCTTGCCCTGTCCTTGATCCCATGACAGGACAACAATCCAGACACTCACACAGAGAAATTTCACTTGACATGACAACAGTTCCTAAGGGTTATGGGTCCACTGGGCTCTTGGAGCTTGGGTTGTACTTGAGACATGGAGTGCCTGCTACCTTAGTGCTGGTGCAAAATCAAAACGTCTAGCACCTTGCCCACAGAGCCATGATCCCCACTCTTCCCTAACAGGCCAAACCCAAGCCCGGTGCCTTATTCCTTGTAAACACCCTGTGCTAGACTTTGGGCCCTGATACCACAGCTCTACTTCCCCCACAGTATCTGTGGTCCTAAACTGGAGCCTAGCTCTTCATTGTCTTGTTCCTGACCCTAACCTCAACCTTAGCAGTCCCTGCTTGGCCCGCTAATCAGGATGACTCTTGCAGCTCTCAGGGAAAAATGCAGACAAGCACTCCAATAGGCAGAGCCTTAAGGCTTCAGCTCATCACTCTATTGGGCAAAACCCAAATTCTGGCTTTAACTCTAAGGGAGAGTCCCTGCTGGAAGATCTAAAACAGTCACCTGGCTCTTGCTTCAGGCAGCTCTTCAGCCTTACTTGGCAACCAGCTTGAAAAATCCAACCAAAAGTTTGGCTCATTGATCTATGTGATCTTAAACTCTGCTCCTATCATAAATTCTCACATGGTGATTCCTGCAAACCTGAGACCTAACAATACCAAGATAACCCCTTGGTGAGCAACCTAGCCCTAGCAAAGTACTGTCTAGACCTGTAAAAAATATCTCTAAGAGATCAGGGAGGGGTGCTTTAAGGCAACACATGGGTCTGCACCCTTGCAGCTGAAGCCCTGCAGCACTGCGAGACAGACTTGCAGTATGTCTTTGCTTCTTCCTCTAGGGGTTCGAAATACTTCGGGCTTGAGTACACTTATACTGAGACCAGTTCCCAAACATCTTAGTCATCATGATAGCTTCTTTTTTTTTTTTTTTTTTCAACGTCAAACTTACATTGTTGAGACACTGAGGAAGGTTTCAAGCCACCATCATTCACTTACAGGAGGGTTTTGAAGGCAGAGCATGTGCTGCTTAAGGCTAATCTGGAGGAGTTCAAGGATAGCCATCACCTCTGCAGGCTTCCCTGGAGGACAGGAAGGGAATATGGAAGATAGTCATGGTCATACCAAGAGTTAAAACATGATTCAAAGACTGAAAACTACTTTCCTGTCCTTGTTCTGCTCTTTGTGATCATGAATCAGCCACTCTGTAAAATGAGACAGATGCAACATCTCTCCCAGGGGTGCGACAAGGTGCTGTGGTGCCACAGTGATAAGATCCGTGCAAGAATGCGTAATGAGCCCCAAACAAGACTTTGCTTTGCTCTTGTGTTTTTCTTTTTTGAATATGCAATTCCTTTCCTTATTTGTTACCTAGGCACACTAGCGTAGAGACCCTGATCCGCCCACATGCATTGCAGTCTGATGAGAAAAAGAGGTCAGGAATGAAGCCTCCCCTTTTCCACAGCACGGCGCATGACTAAGTGTGGGCGTCACACTCTGGGAAGGCTCCTGCCCTCCCGCTGAGAGCAGGAAGAGGTCTGGGACAGGCCAGGCACAGTACATAGGCAGGTAAATGAGACAAGAAAACTAAATCCCCTCTCCTAGAAAATCAGTTTGGCAATCAGAAAGGGGATGAGGCTTGCAAGCCAGTTTACAATTCCGTATTGGCGTCAACATTTCATTGCATGCCCTCACAGCAAAGTGATGCTGCAGGAGCCTTGTCCAGAGCATACCAAGTGCTCACAGTCCTGATGAGGTCACCTCTGGTGCAAAATAAGCAGTGTGTCTTCCACAGTGAGTTTCTGAGTTACTCAAGTTATCTTCCAGAAATGCAGCTGAGCTACGGAGCCCCCAAGGATGCTGCCTTTGCAGGTCTCAGTGAAGCCAGCCAGAGATAGAGCCTAGAAATTAATTAGAAACTTGCTGTAGTGTGAACGATTATGGAGGAGAAAGCTGACGTGAGCAAGATGCAAATGAAAGACTTTTGTGGCTGCACCTCTGATAGCATGGGCACCAATTTCCGCAGGAGGGAGAAGCCCAAATAAGTATGCTTATAATGCAACTTGCAAATAAAACCCCAAGAAATATCCACAGTGAAAAATAATTTATTTTTACAGAGCAAATATTGCTTGTTCATGAGCACTTCATAAAAATTGTCAAAAAAAAAAAGAACCTACAGTTGGGGTTAATTTAAATATAGCCTTCTACCAAATAAGGTATTATTAGATGATGTTAATACTAGTATTTTCTATACATCTGTAGGACTTGAGGCTTTATGCACAGGGCAAATACTGGCTTTCCAGACCCTGTGACTTGCAGACAAACTAGCAGCAGCAGCGATGTGTATGTTTGTGCTTCACTTCTCTAAACCACCTCACCAGATTTGTTTGTCTTTGAAATTTTATGGGAAGGAAACGGAGATTTTTTTTTTCAGCACACCTCTATATAACCAGTATGTGGCTTTTATATCTGCTGGTAAATTTTCTCAGTGTATAAAATAGGGCATATCCAAAGGTTTTTTTTTTTGTTTTGTTTTTTTTTTTTTTTTTTTTGGACATGAGATACTATGAGCTGGCAGAGCTGGTTTTCAGAGGAAACTGAAGCAGAGCTCAGCGCTCCCCAGGAGGTGTGAGGATGCCCAGGGCAGTGAGAGGAGAACTCGGCAGCAGGACTCGGGTCACCAGGGTCACATAGAGCTGACCTGGCCATTCCCACAGCAACTACTGGTGTGCGAGGTCACCACCCCCAAAATCCAGCCCTGCGCGACTTAGATTGTGAACGTCGGAACACGTTTCCACGTTAGCAGTATCCATGAATTTTGGTATGATGGGTTATCTGAGAAATCAAGACAGAAACATAACGATATCTCTCTTATTACAATTGCTTGGGCTTATTAAAAGCGTATTTAGTGTCTGCTTTCTATATTTATGCTTTTCTCTTTGCACAGAGGCCTTCCCGTTGAACAATACTATTATGTGACCCAGCAGAAAAAAAGCGATGTGCGCATGAACGATGAGCTGTAAGTTTCAATTGCATTAACCAGACTGTGCGTTTAGTGAACAAAACAGTAAACTGGATATTCATTCCATGCTAATCATATTATGCACGTACAATATGAAACGCACATATGCTATGAAAAGTGATGGGACATGGTCTGTGAAAAGAGGTTAGCTACAAATCCACTTGGGAAGGAGGTTCAGAATTTGACACTGTGCCCCTTCACTTTAGTATTTTTCAGCAAGGGTCTATGAGTCTGTTTCACAGGGTCTGTATTTACCTATTTTCTATATATATAGTATATATATAGAATACTCAAAATTATTGGCCTTTTGCTAGTTAGGATCTGGATTAAATTAGAAGTAACTGAAGCGGCCATAATACCAGGTGTATATCAGTCTGTGTTTCTGGTGTACATATACATATTTTAACAGGAGTTTTGACAAAGATTATTTTTCTCAGTGCTACTCTTAAAGAGAAAACACAAAGTGAATTTGAATGTTGCTAGGATGCTGCAATCCAACATTTTGCCACTTGATGGCACCAGCAAAACATTTAATCTCTATTATAAGCTACCAAAATTCTACATCTCAGGTAACGAAAAACTTAAAAAGCAGAAAATGAACAATTTACACCTCTCAGATTAGAATTATCTTACTTATAAATCAAAATGTAGTTAGAGAGATTATTTTATAAACCTGAGAATAATTCTGCAGTGATTTTGCCAGGTAATACCTATAGAATTTTGGGGCTGGTGTGTGACCACAAGTAGTTCCCATTTACCTCTTCCCATGTGATGTACCTGATCCCAATTTGTGCTATCTCATATGCTCCAGAAAAGCAGGGAACAATTAGGTCCTCTGAAGCCAAATAAGTGTCAAATAAGTATATGAGTGTTATGTGACACTCATATTGGTAAACACAAGATAAAATCAGAAGCACAGTGAGACTCTGAAATAAAAGGAAAACCACCTGCTGCACAGGGTGGGAGGCCTGCTGTGTTCCCAGTAATTCCTAGGCAAGGGCAACCTCCAACAGATCATGGTTAAAGCTGCTTTGAGACCCATTATTTTCCTAGAGAGCATGTTCCTCATGCCAGTCGCTCACCTGAATGAATTATCCATATACAGAGACCATGGTGCCTTTCTGGGAATTGCCTTTGTTAAGAGGAAGTACCAGAGGCTGCTGTGACTATCAGTCCTTGCAATAGCTCTATAAGAAAGAAAGATGCTTTACATAAGGGTAGATCAGATTCTGCTCCAGTACATACTGAAAAGGATATGACTTTAGACTCTGAGTGTCAGGCCAATTGCACATTGATTTATTTTACCAGTTTTGCATTCCCATCTTAACCTGAAACATGATGGCTCTCTAAAACATTTTATGGTCTGCTTTATACTCGTTAAGAGCAATTTCTTTCCTATTAGCTTATATTTTCTTATTATCTTTTAAAGACTTTTAAGTTGAAGGAAAGCAAACATATATAAACAAATCTGCCACACTGATAGTTCAAGATCTTTCATAGCAATCATTCTCTATGCTGTCAGGGTCTTTCAGGTGGTGACAGCCATACTGAACCCTTCCTGTAAAATACCCACAGAGTGCTGCTCACAGGCCTACTTAGAAGCTATTAACACTCACTTTAGTTACCTTGTAGCCTGTGAGGCCTCCTTTAAGGCCTCCATTAGTCTTTTATGGGAAAGGAATTACCAGGCATTTGCAATAACTGCATACATCTCCATGGGTCAACTTCGTCTTAAGTATGCACACCACATATATTTGCCTCATACACACCTACAAGTGCATTAGCAATAGACCAAATCCTCTCTGCCAGTCAAAAGTCCTAAGAGAGAAACATAACCCCCTCTTTCCACCCAAAGGAAGGTGTAAAGCGCCCTCCAAGGTGCATTTGATCCAAAGGGATCAAACAAGGCCCCAACAAGCCTGAAAGGCCTTTGCTGCCAGTTGGAGAAGGTCACACTAACCAGATGATCACTCGGTGTCACTAGTTCCACACACACTAAATCAGGCAACAGTGTTTGTAGCTCTCCATGCAAAGGCAAGTCATACCAAGGAGCTTTCAGTAACAAAGCAAATGAATAAATAATGGTCTTTTTTTTTTTTCTTTCTTCTTCTTCTCTGTGTGGGTTTTAATCTTTCCACAGCTTACCATGCGACATAGCATTCTCATTCCTCTGGCTTTCCCCCCTGCTCCTTCATCCCTGGTTCCCTGACCAAACAGGTTTAAGATTAGGCAAGATAAGTGATTACCTCCTTTTGCAGGCATCAAGGGCAGCAAAGAAAGCCAATTTACAGATGAGAAACATGTTTTATTCTCCAATAGCAATTTTCTTCCTGTTAAAAATGGCAAGAGTGCTAAATCTTACTCTCTTAACAATTTACTGAGTACATGGGGAACTAAAAGGGAAAAAAAGAAAACAAGCCTCTGAAAAGTTCCCTGGCCTAATGTAGAGAAGCTGGAAGCCGCCCAGCTACGTGCACCACACCTGTGCTATCTGCCAGCTCTGTGGAGGCACCTCCCATGGGCCTGACAGCACCCAGCTTGGGAGCAACGGGAACCCTTGAGGAGGTCAGACAGATTTCAGTGTGTCTTTTATTAGCATTTTGCAGCTGCTGAGGCTTTGCATCCAATGCTTTGCACTGCTCCATGAGGAGAGACACAGAACTACGGCAGAGTAGTACAACCTCAAAAACCCCTCCAGATCATGGGAGTCATGGAAACACATGCTTGTCCTTACTTTACTACTGTCTTCGATTTAGATATTATAATGAAAAATATTCCATAAAAGTACATTAAAAATTGATCTTACACATGTAATTCACTAAAACACCTGTGACAGTGTGGAAATGAATGAGTCCAGAACAAAACAGAATCATAGAAGCTTTTTGAGGAAGGGGCCATGTTTCCTCACTGTAGTTGTACAACATCTGTTTTTATGGAATCTAGTTCAATGATGGAGTGGCCAAGCGGCAGCTCTGAGTCACAGAAGGCTTGAACAGAGGTTGGGTGTCACTCCTTTGCCATGGCTAACCCAGATGATCCAGTCCACCCAGGGACAGCTGAGGCTGAAATGATAGAGTCCCCGTGCAGTCTAAATGCATCCCACAGCTCTCTCAGACTCAGCTATGGAAGCCCTGAGAAGTTATCACCATCTCTCGCTTGGGAATGAATCGTGGGTATCCCTCTCCTCACTAAGAAATCCTAGGGCTCTAGGCCTTATGGAGGCCAAGATATAGCCTCCATATATACATGTATGACTTGCAGAATCAGAAACATTTATATGACCAATAAATAATAGAAGATAATAATTTTTAAAAAGGATTATTATCAGGCAAACTTTCCTATCCATACTCTGCTAAGACACTTTCAAGCAATACCTAGTAAATTAGTCTTCTTCACCAAACACATGAGATTTTGGAGCTCCTCATAAACCACTTAATTTATATATCAGATCATACAAATACCCAGTAATATTACCTTTCAAACATTTTTTCTCTTTTTTCATCATATTGCAAAGAACCACTACAGCAAGTTATTATTTTTTATCTCTTAAACACTTTTCTGTCTTGGTGTAATTGCCAAGAGATTCTTAGCTAGCCTCATTTATGAAATTTTTGCCCTTTAGAGTTCATGTTCTCCCTTGATTGCTTTCTTAAAATGTATTTGAAGCATCAAATAAGTCTCTAGGTAGAATATTAAAAAATAGTAAGCATGGAATGAATTAATACTTCCTGTACAACTATGACTAGGATGATATATTTTGTTTTATATTACTGATAAAAGGATTTCTTTTTGTAGTACATGCAGGTGTTTATTACTAGAGAGCACGTTACATAGAAATATAAAGAGGCTGGATATTTTCCCTCGCTCCTTTCAAAAAGGCCTTCTGTGCATCGCTTGTTCCAGGAGCCTTTTCAGCCTTGGCACTTAGCAACATGGAGCATTTCTCACTGAACGAGTCATATCAGTAAGAATATGGAGTGTACTGCTTACACATTGATTTGTTTCTAATGTATGTTGATGGCACTGCTTCATATTAAGTGTGGAAGGTGCAAACGTACATGGAATTTCAAATGACTTTATATTTTTCTTCTCTAATATAGGCTTCATAAGCCGCCAGAGAGTTTGGCTAAGTAAGTACAATTCACTTCTATTGTACCTTATCTTTATGAAACAAAAAAGGCAAGTCTTTTTTCCTAGAGCCTCGACACTGACAGTAAGTTCCCATGCAATAAGCAGCAGCAAAGGTACTGAGCTGTCTCGAACAAGGCCTGTGCTGCCTGGGTTAGCACGTCAGCAGTGCCGGCCTAGCGCAGCCATCCCACAGGCTAAGTGATTTTCCTGGCACACGTGAGTATAGTTTTTATTACATGATGTGACATGAAAAATTTGGGAGAGCAGACAGGGGATACAGCAGATTTATGGGAGAGAAGCCTAGCAGAAGTGCAGGTTGGTGAGACTTCTTGTTACCTCATGCTGCACGTAGGAGTTGGAGGCTCTTTTGGTTTTGTTTTCTACAGCAGTTGGAGGAAGGTATTCGTTCTCAGTAAGTTACTACACACAGTCATGGAAAATTTAGAAGGATCAAAATGGGGTGGGTGCTATTCTCTGTCACTGGAATAAGCCACCATATCATTTTCATTTTGGAAGGGCTTTGTCATTTCAGCATTTTAATTATTATTGAATGTCTTCATTTTTTTTTTTTTTAAAAAAAGGCGGAAAGAAGAGCCACAGCAATGTGGACACTCTCCATGAAACCCCAGTTCTCAGCATTTCACAAGGCTCCATCTTGGTTTTACTCTCCTTCCTCCTAGAAGTAAATGTCTTTTCAGGGGCAAATTTTGATTTCACAAGTTGTTATTAACTGGAGCTGTGCAAGAATCAGAAATCCACATTTCCCTTTCCTTAAGCCACATAAAAGTAAGCATCAGTTGGTATGACTGATTATGGACAAAAGCCACAGCTCTTTTCTCACAACATAGCCAATAAAGCTGCAAGTCCTCATTTGCCCTTTGACTCTCATTTGCCCTTTCTTCCCGCTACTCATTTGACTATCTGTAAGCAAACACAATTCAAATTTGACTATTTCATGGTAATAAAAGCTTGGCAGCCACCAGAGTGATTAAAGTTGGATGCTGATCTAGCAGGACAGTTAATTATTCTCTTTTTACGGGAATAGCAACCAATGCTCTGATCCAATGACATTAAATTCCCATATGAATATTAATGCGCACTGCTTTGGAGTTTTATTCAACTAAGCCCCAGATTTGTTTAAAATAATTATATCTAAAGGGTCAAAGTATGTTTCTGTCATGGAGGACGTAGTTACTGCCACAGCAAATTACGCCCAGCGTGACTCACACCTAGTCACGCCTACAGTCTTCTGCACAGCACAGGGATTTGTACACAGGCCGTGTGCGACCTGCTCTCCTTCCTCTGCTTTCTGCCTCAGCCTTTCTTACCGCTCTGCAGGTAGTGTCAATGTTTCTTTGAAATTAATCTAATTGCATCTGTCATCCTTTTTTTGCCCCTTTCTAAAGCAAAAATCTGCTTTTCTCAAGGTTGTACTTGTCTATAGTAATTAGACTTTTTTCCATTTTGATGGGTTTTTTCCACCAGTTATTTTTCCCCTTTTTCTCTTCTTCATATGGTTCCTCATGACAATCTTGCTTTACTTTTCCCTTCATTTCACTCAGTTTTGGTGTCTACAGGAAATACTTTTCCCTGAAAGCCCTTTCCACAAGTTCTTCAGTAATTTATTGCTCCACAGAGCCTCTCTCCACAGAGCCTCCCATCCTGCATTTCTTTAAAGCCAGAGGAAATACCTGAATATGACGCTATCCAGTATGCTTTTTGAGAGACTCCTGAGAAAAATGTTGTTCTGCAAGCTGTCTTCATATATAATTGTAGCTACCGGGAAGATTGTAGTGATAGAAGCCAACATCTTTTTTTTTGCATCTGGGGTTTGATACTGAGGCATCCTTTCTCGAGTCTGACTTGGATTTGTCTTAAAACCTCAGAAAGAAATCTCTAAATTCAACCAGGAGAGCATTTCACCGCAGGGTCTGTCCAAGTGATGTAGTAACCTATGTGGTGTCAGTGATGCAGGTACCCAGTTCTGAAAGTTGCAGAACAAACATGATGTTTCTCTTTTATGCGGCAAATGACAAGTAGGCAGAGATCATTGTGAATTCCTTGTGGGGTGCAAACAAGAGGACTGAGGAATTAAGGTTTCTCTGCTCCTCTTCTCATAGTTCTTGCGGAGTGTTATCTTAAATGCTGAATGTCTGTGAAATGTAAAATAATGATATTTTGTTCTTTTCTGCCCTTCCTGACAATCCAAACAAACCCAGACCACTGTGCCTGCCGTTTCCCACCTCTCACCCCTACCAGACGCACATCTCGAGGTACGCCATGTTTCCAAACTTCCGATCACCTGAGGATCCATACACTGGGGTTGAGGCAAGCCAGCATCGGCCTCTTCATCCCAACATCCCTGCCAAAGCTTTTGATGTGGTTGTTTTGGGGAAGACCAAAGGTAAGAGAGTATTTGATCGGTTTGGCATTTATTGTTGATACTTACCTGGAAACATTATTGAAGTGTCTCCTTTAAAATGAAACAATTTAAGGATTATGAGTGGTCAAATTAAGCACATTGACTTAAACTGGAGTTCTCCAGCTGCAAACTGCACCCTCAGTGCAGGGGGATACCTGGACCCTGGGAATGTTGACTTAACCTCTATCTCATGTGAGCACCCTGCAGGCTCATGAGCCAAGGGAGCTATTACACCGGCTGTTATTTCCTTAAAAAGTCAAGGTGCAGCATTCAGTCTGATATCTCTGATGAGACGAATAACTCTTCGCAGTCCCAGGGAGTGACAAGGAAAGGAAAGGAAAAGAATGCATTTGAGGAACCAAAAACTTGCAGTTCAAAGACATGCCTGACAAAAATCTGCTGAGGACAACAGAGATACCCAAGTAATGAGCACTGAATGACTAAAAATATTTAATAACTACGCAGGTGGTAGAACAAGCTCCGGAGTGACAAAACAACCCTTTTTAGCACTCATGAAGCTGAGATGAAGCCCTAGACATTCATTATATTCAGATTACCATATAAGCCATCACTGAAGTATTTGTTTTTAATTCTAGCAAGGTGACTTTTTTTGCAGAATAGAATAGAGCAGTATTCAATTACACTGAGTTTTGGCATACCTCAGAGTCATCATTCCCATTTAATGGCATTTGGCTCTGAGAATGGCAAGAAAAGAGCATGAGGTTCTTGGTCTTGGCCTGGTTTTCCCGAGAGGCAGTTAGCGGTGTGTTTTTGCAAGGTATTTATTTTAGAAGGCTCTGCAGGTCACCTGCAGGAACTGATGAGCACCTCTTGATGGCTGTTGCCTTCGCAGGCTTCTTAGATATTTGAGACAGTAGAAAGCAGGAGCACCCTTCACAGCACGAGAGCTCCTGGTGCAAGAAGGTGTCTGCCAGCACCTCAGTTTGTCTTGGCAGTGCTCGCCAGGCAGGGACTTGACAATAACTACATAAAACAGAAAAGAAAAAAAAAAAAGCATATGCTGCTGTGGATAAGAAGCTTTCAGTAAAGTAAAAGCTAATGTCAATGTCAATCAGGATGTCAATTTGCATTAATTAGCTGCTGTTCCCAGTTATCGCCACAGTGCTGTACAAGTAATGGTTTTAGCTATGTAAATAAGCAGTTTTCAGTCCATCAGAAACAAAAAATCCACAGACTATGCTAGAAGTAGTTTGTAGTTACTTCTCATTGATTATTGTTCAATACAAGTAACAGAAATCACACATGGAGGTGAGCTTGTAAAGCCTGTTCTTGCAAAACACGAGGATCACTGGAGGCCAAGTTCTATTCCCAGCAAAGCTTATCAAGTTGAGAATTATTAGCTTAAGGGGCACCTACTGCTGACAATTAGAAAATACCCAAACTTCATTTGCTGTTCCCTCCATACGGTTTGACTTCCTCCAAGGTACTCCCAGTCACTGTAACTGAGGTGAGAAATCTCTTGTTAAATCCAGATAACCCAGATCACAGCTGAGTGACTTTCCCACTGGAAGGGTATATTCAAAAAAATTGTGCTTTTCTACATCTTATCCCTACAAAGTTCAGGATACCCATTATATAGCGATGGCAGCATCACTGTGAGGTATATAGGGTAACTGGGCTGAAAAAAAAAAAAGCATGACAGAGCCTGGGTTATAAATGAAGCTCTTTCAAGCATTCTCTGCAGTCTCATTTTTTTAAGACACCTATAGGCATCCAATTACTCCTCACAGGGTGATTTTACAGCTATAGAGCCACCTTCTCAAACAATTAAACCTTATTAATCTTACTGTCTTGTTGTTGTGTGTAAAAAAACATGCACACAAAATGCAACAAGAATCCTCCTAGCTCGTGTCTGGATTAATCCAGATCTCCTGCAGTGGGTCATGGGCAGGTGACCCTCTGCAGAACCAACTGTGTTCGGAGATTCAGCCCTCAGCTGCTTGTCACTGCCTCTCTGCCCAAGACAACTGACCCTGCAGATCTGCTTGTGGAGGTACTTACCTGAGAGCTTCCAGAAAGGCAGTGCACTTAACTTCAGATAATTAAATGGGTGACCTGGGCTAACCCTGCTGATTTTGTGCCAAAATTGTGCTGAAGATTTCTGCCTGCAGGTCCGTGAGGTCAGTCTCCCAAGGTAGCAAAAATACAACCAGCAGCTCACAGAAGTAACCTCTTCCACCAACAACTGCCTGTACAGTGAGCATAAGTCTACAGCTTAAAATGCAGATCCTCCTGTCAGTCTAATCAATAGTGTTGCAATGGAATATGTTAAATATTTCTGCTGCAGGTAATCCATATAGGCACGAAGTGGTCAGTATTCCCTCTGACTCCCAGAAGGAGGCTGTGCACTGGCCGGGACAGCACACATACTTTCATGTATGTAGTTTGTATGGCAGAGCAAATGCCACTCCTTTCGTTGTTATCTTAATCAAACCTGACTGTATCTCTTTCACAGGGGGCAGTTTTACACATCAAAGTACTATATTGTTCCAAACAATTGCAGTTCATGAGTTTGGCATCACACAAACCAAAGAGCAAAGGACTTCAGAGAGAGCAAAATATCCACCTCAACATTTTTATAAACAAGACCAGAGGCTCACAAGTTGTCCTGTGGTGAAAGCCTTTTAATTTAAGGACTAACTACATCTCCTAGGACCTAGCTAAGTAGCTGTGGAGATAAGAAACATACAAAGCAGCAAAAACGGCCACTGACTGTATCCAGGATGAGGGGGTTCCTCCCTTCAGAAGCCCAGATAAGGCTCTGCTGTGTTTCACAGAAATGGGCTTGGGCAGTAGCAGATCTGTGCCGATCTTTAACTCCCCACAAGTCCTGCCATTCTACGGCCAGGCTGGTCTCTCTCTTTCCATGTCCTGAAGGAAATGCACACCCGCTCTGTAGAGGATCTCCTTCTCTGTCCTTGCCTTGCATAGCTGCAGTGATGGAAGGGCTGGCCTGGTCCATAAAGCAGAAAAGTAGATTTGTTGATGAATGGCTACATTTCTACTCCTCTGTGGCTTGGTTAAAAAGTAATTCACTTTCCAAAGGGATCCAGCCCAACCTTGATGTCAGATGGAAGTCAGGAAGATTGCAGGGAAAGACAGAGATAAACAAAGACACAGATACTGCCTCTTTTAGACACAGAGTCCAACAGATGCATGATGGAAAAAACAAAGTGGCAGTTGTTATTATGGCTGCAAAAGGAAGAATATATATTATGCAATGTTCTGCCTAGGTGTGGTTACTGGGAAATTTATTCCAAGTTATTTGTATTGTGTTCAACCTTGTGGCATCAAGTATTGAAGATATTTTTCCACCACAATTTTATTAATATTTTCTAAACAGATAATTTCTAGAGGGTTTATTTCAAAGCTTTAAAGCAATATTTTTAACCAAAACACAGTTTGTTTACACTTTACCTATTTCTTTTTATCCTTCAGGTTCCTAAGTTTGCTGAACAAAAGGATCAAAGATACTATCCCAAGCCACCAAAGATAGTGGCTCCTAATCCCACTTTTGAAGACCTAGGACATAACCTCTCTCCGAGAACAACCAATATGTTACGAAACAGTGAAAGGGCTCAGTGGATCACAACGTATAGTCGGGACTTCACAGGTAGGCACTTTTTGTCAAAATAATTTACCTGGGGTAACAGTGAAAGACCACATAATATCAGCACATAGTTCTCTCTAGAAAATTCATTTTTAGCCCTTTAGAAATAAGGACCGCAAAAGCTGTAAGTTATCTGAGATTTTCCTCTGTTTGTGTGGTTGACCATTCTCATAGGAAGAATGTGTGACAATAAAATATGTCTCCATTAAGGCAGAGGTCCTATGAATCCCTTTAACCTGGATGACTATGACATGAAGGCACTTGACAGATTAATGCACGAACTAGAAAACGTGGAACTTGTAAGTACTGCAGTTACTGAGAATTTGATACTTCCGCCATAACTACTACTGGAAGGAGTGTTCCCAGACGCAGCCAGCAGAATTAAACTTTCTCTTTGGTAATACAGAAGCACAGCTCAGTCAGAACAGACAGAAGTTCAACATAGTAGATCAGTCCTGACACAGCTAATTGACAGAATTCTTTGTAATACTTTAGTGACTTGTTCCGGGTCTGGCAGGAGGTTATTGTCATTATCTGCTTATTTTTAATCTTATCTTTTAAAGTTGCCACCAACAAATGACAGCAATTAGAAGGACAATTTGCCTTGTAAAGTATGAGTAATAAACTCCATAAAGTGATTTGTCAGCTGCAGAGATTGAAATACTTGGCAAATGTTGAGCTGGTGTAACCAGCCTCACTCCAGTCATCCCCTTACTGTCTTTTGCACACATTGCCTCATTTGATAAAAGCTCTAGTACCACTGCAAGCCATTACCACCTTACCAAGCTGTGTATCTACAATCCATCCTCCTCCATTTACATGAGGGGTTTGCCGTTTTCCCTCAAAGGTGCATCAGTAACATGCAGTTCCTTAAAATCACTGTATTCTATTTTAATGCCCCGGTACTCCAAGGAACATAAAAATAGACTGGCAAACTCCGGGCTTATTTTCTTCAGCTGTTCTGATGCTCAGTGTGGTCTGTAGAAAACTGAAAAGATGATACTATTTTTCTTAAACACCACACGTGCAAGTAAAGCCTTACATGCTATATAAGCACAGCAAATCCAGTTGAGCTACTTTTTGTGCCTGGATCATTACTTACATTTCAAGCCTTTTCAGTGACACCTGTGCCTTGTCATGCACAGTATATATACAAGTTTAATTGACTGTAACTGCATAAACAATTCTGCAGGTAAAACAGTAGTGGATTCCCACTCAGCCTCCCGCAGCTTTGCTGGCTTAACAGCACACAGGTTCAGACTTCTTTGTCTCTGATACCCTCAGGTATGATTGCAAAATAAACAAGGAGTGGGGCAGCTAGGTAACAATTCTTGTAGATATACATCACCGGAAAACTCCTAGGTGAAAAGTAGCAAAACTGTCCCATCTTTTTTTTTTTTTTTTTAAATTGGACGTTTTTTTAAAAAAAATAGGTAATTAAATCCTTTTAAAAGGATATTTGCAATTTTTTGAAAACTGAATCCCTGTATTTAAAATGGAAAAGCTGCCTGACATTCTCTCCAGTGTGATGAAGGAGCAAATATTTTACTTTATGCTAATGAGCACTAAAGAACGCTTTCAACAGTTCACCTTGTTTCCTCCTGCAAAGGAAAATCCAAACCACCAGCTTATTTTAATTCAAAACAGAGCAGCTTTATTGCCCTCTAGTTTCTAAAGTGTGGCTGGAAAAGGCCTACCCTGGGCTATGCTGTTTTATCTGAACAATATTATCCCATTTAAGAGACACATACATTTAATATCAAACACCCAGAGAGTTCAGCAGAGTAACTTCCTGACTGGCAGTGCTTTGGGTATAGCTCTACTTTGTTTGGGTACTTCCTACACAATGTTGCTTTGACTCTGTGCTGCTATCCAAAGCATTAACACCAGAAATGATTAATACAGGATAACCGTATTCAAGCAGTGAATCAAACTGTGACTAACGGAGCTAAAAGGCCACAGGCCAGTGAGCCCCCTTAGTTCCACTTGCAACTGTAAATAAATTTGAATATGCAGTAGTGCAAGTCATCTTGTGTATTGTCACATTGTGTGAGGGATCACAAATTGAAAGGCAGTTGTCTGCAGAAGAAAGGAGAAGGTGGCACAGGACACTTCTATGCATTTGTATCTTGCACCTAGGGATGGGCTGTGTATTTTTTCTTTTTCAAAGCATAAAGACTGAATCTAAAGTCCATACATAAACTGGATATACAAATACGTATTGGACAGTGACCTGGGCTGCTCGCCTTTGCCCGTATCAGTTTTGCGTTCTGTCAGAGAGGAGCAGGGCCCAGGAGTGACCTGGCTCCCGTGCCTGTCATCACACTTGCCCAAGTTCCCAGGTGTGCTTCTTCCTTCCTGCTCCACAATGTGCAGCTCTAAAGGTAGAGAAGCAAGAGAGACTGAGAACCAGAGAACTGAACCATGTCTCTAGTTGCGGACAATGCTTACACCAACCCTTGCAAAAGCAGGAGTCTCAGATGAGAGTGTTAATTCTGTTCCATCCCCCATTAGAAAGAAACATTTCTGCCTCATCCTTCACAAGTGAGACCTCTCCAAGGACGCACCGCACGTTTACTTCAAGGTCGACGGCCCCATGGATCAGTCCTGCAGGAACCGCACGCCCGCCATGTGCAGACGCCTCCGCCTTTACACAGTGCCCACGCCATTTTACCCAGCTGCTCAGCCACAGCGCTGAGGAAATTAAAAGCAACAGCCAGTCCGCAGTGGAAAGTGACAGAAAACACAGACCAGCAATGGGATGTGAATCAAGAGCAGGCTGATCTGCCTCGGGTATGTTACCAGAAAGACAGCTATCTGGATGCAAGGCCACCTGCAAGCAAATTTCAGAAAGTCATTGACACACAGCAAACAGAAGAATTATACAGGAGGCAACTTGCAGGAAGGCCTGACCTTGAATCAGGATGTTCCCTTTCCTATAAAGATTTGAAGCTTCACCATTTGGGACCACATAGAGTATGGAATGACCCTAATGACTGCCTACATGTCCCCAGGCTACCACAGGATGTGAAGAGTGAGGAAAGTGACACTTTCATGCATGAGCTTCAGCCTCAAGAAGCAAGCCACCCTCTATGGAGATCAGAGGACTGCACAAGCAAGACAGCACTGCCTGAGTGTATCCCCAGCTACGAGGTTCCCCTGCATCCGACCACACTGCTGGAGCTGCAGGATTCTTTCTCCAAGTCAGCAGCACACAAACATTTTCATGATTCTATTAAAGGAGACACAAAAGATCTCAGAGATAACATTGCTGAGGGGAGGAGACACAAATTCTATGGTTTCAATTCTTTTTATTTCTACAACTGACACATTGCTTTGGTCTTGAACAATAGATTAATAAATAAAAAGTACTTCAATATAACTTGTATGTCCTTTCCTGGAGAATAAAGACAAATTCCAACTGGAGCAGGTAAAAAGAAGAGCAGCCCGGGATATGTGCGGCCTGTGTGAAAAGAGGAGACAAGAGCATCTTATCTTGGTTGGCCTAAAGGCTGAGGAAATATGATGTTCTTGAGAAACACATCAGTGGAACAAACACTGGGGAAGGAATTAGTTCAGTAAGAGCCAAATGGGTTCAAGAGTGAGCACTACAGACTGAAACCTGGTGTAGGCTGGGTGGGTTTTAGTATTCCCTGCAAGGCATTGAAAGAGCTTTAGAATGAAGCAGATAAGCCATAGAAAACATGCCATTTGTTATTAGCAGTTAGCTTCAGAGGGCTGCAAGTGCCAATACAGTAGCTAAGGATGAGAAGTGGGAATTAACTCGGTGGTTACAAAAATAGTTAAGAAAACTAAGATATAAGCACAGAAGAGCTCTGCTGCTGTGTTGTGCTTCCTGAGCTTGGATTCCTGAGTAGCGTGAACAGAAAACAAATCACCAAATACAGCACTCCTAAATATCTGAAACCATGTTTGCAAAGCCATTCAAAGACAAGAAAGCCACTAAGGAAATTTCAACGGATTAACAATGGCTTTGCCCAAAGGATACAAAGAATAAGTTTAAATTGCTATTTTCAGTGTGCAAAGTGATTAATATCAGTACTGCCTAAAAATCATCAACAGAACTAATATTGGTTTAATTAATATCTAAAGGAACTAGAAGTTAAATAGAGATTAGAGGCAGAAACATCACATGGCCATTTATTCTTTCTTAGCTGGCTACTTGAATGAAGCTGGTTATTTGAATTAGCTAGTTTCAGCTAATAACCAGCTTACTTTCTTAGATGGTTACTTCAGTTCAGCTGTTTCCAGAGAAGACCTGAGAGGAAAGCAAAATAACACTGCAGTTTTCTGTGAGATTTTCTTCACGGCAGGTCTCCTGAGATGTCCAGCTAAGAGATCACACATTTTCCCCTCTCCTTCCAAGCAATTTTCCACAGTTCAGCAAGCTGCCAGGATCATACTGAATACATGACATAAAGAGAAGCATGCCTCTAACTAGTCATTATCTACTGTATTTTTCTTTCCTGGAAGAGATTTTAGCAAGGAATCACAGCAGAAACACAAATCACTGATCATTTTACATGTGAGATCTTCCGAAGTCCAGCTGGGAGAGAGGCTCCAAGCAGAGCGCTATAGGACAGGAGTCAGAGATTGTGTATCCCCTTTGGAGAGGGTACTCACCCTCACATCCCACCATATCCCAGCATATCCTCATTTTAAAATAAGTGTAGATTTCTGCTCAATCTGTAGTAAAAAAAAAAAAAAAAAAAAAAAAAACCCCCAAAAAAAAACTTTTTACTCTCCTTTTTTGTTCATGGTGCTGTGAAGCACCATGCTTTAAAATATAAGCTGATCATGGACATTTTTTTGAGTCTGTGAAGCATCTAGCATGTCCAAAGTGGGAAACAGCCCCGGGCCGCTCATCTGTTCTGATATAACACTTGCTGCATCCCGAGAGGCATATTGCAAAATGAGCAGTCAGTACCCCTGGGATGTTAAAACGTGGTTCTCAAGATACTTCTAAAGCTACTAGGTGACTACTGGGTTACAAATGTCTCAAAATCGTAGTACAACGCAGTCAGTACCCCTGGGATGTTAAAACCTGGTTCTCAAGATACTTCTAAAGCTGATACTTCTAAAGGTGATTACTGGGTTACAAATGTCTCAAAATCTTAGTACAAGAGGTAGCAAATACAGAGGGAGGTTTCTTCAGGGAGGAATCCCATCTCTCCACTGGTGAGAATACCCTGCGGGTGCCTCTCTCTGTCAGCCACATAGTTGTGGGAGCCTGACGTGATTTGAGTTTAGCAGAAGTTTAGATGCCTATCTATGTGGGTTCGACTGCAAATATATCACCTAGCTCACCATAAAGTATATGAATTTAGCTACATATTGTGCAGGCTACATATTATAACATATATATTATAATGAACAGGCTGCCCAGAGAAGTTGAGGAATCTCCTTCTCTGGAAATCTTCAAAACCTGCCTGCAGTGTTTCCATCACTTTATTGTCCAGTTTCTTAAACACCTCTTCAAGATCCAACAGCCTTAAAGCGGGGGCAGAGACCCCCAAGAGCAGAAACCCGCCGCCCTCCTGGCGCCCTTCCCCCAGGAGGTGCCGCGAGGTGAAGGCGCCGCGGGCGCCGCTAGCGCGGCACCCGGGGCTGGGCGGCCCCGTGACGTCACGGACCGGGCACCGCCTCCGCGGGGCTCCGCGCGACCTTTGCTTCGCATTCCCATGTGCGCACGCGCACGCCGCCCTCCCCGAGCACGTGCCCCTGACGCATGGCGTCACGTCTGACGTCGTTCCGCGAGGAGGTGGGGGAGAGGGGGACCGCAACCTACCTTCTTAGCAGCCGGTGTCGTGACG